TATATTTTAAGATTTGCTTTCATACCATTGGAAAAGAACAAGGTGAGAGGCAGAGGGAGAGGTAATCGTTCTCCCAGGTGCACATGACCAGGTCTCCTCTAGGAATGTAACCCCAGGTTATCTACACAACAGCTGAGCATAGTTAAGAGCAAAATGGGAGCATGTGCAGTATCGCACGTAAGGGATTCTGGAATGGCCAGGCCTAGACGAAGAGGGTGGGAGGAATGCAGAGCTGTGTAAGGAGAGTCAAATTTTATTCCTTCAATAATTGAGCACAGTCCAGGAGGTGCTCCTCTAACCTTAAGGATGCAACCTATCGGCTGGTTCCAATCCGCTAGCTTTTCCACAGAGGAAAGGTGGGCAGTCTCTTGGGTGATTTACAGCCTCAAACCCCAAGGGAGGGTCAGCCGTGAGTCAGAACTAACATAAAGGCAATGCATTTGAGGGTCTGGGTTTTGGGGTTTTTTTTGTTTGTTTTTTTGTTGTGTTTTTTTTTTAAATTAATGGGATGTAATATTTTTATTTTGACCAGAAAAAGCAACACACTTTAAAGGAACCCAGGAGAAGAATCAGTCTGAAATGTAAAGCTGTTTTATATACATTTCATAAAAATTCAGGTATGTAAATGTATTTGTAAAGAATTGCCAATCCTGAGATGGATGTATCATTTCAATACTTGCTTCTTAATTACCAGCCCAGACTCCCAACACACACAGTTTGGGGGAAGGATGGTGTGCGGCTGCAGTATGAACTTTGGGTGAAGATTTAGATCTTAAGGTTTTGCTTGAAGATTTAGAATAATTGAGAGAGAATTCGATACTAATTCAGTGTCCGCGTCTTTTAACTCAGTGAGTATATATAATATTATAAAGTATTATCTTCAAATGTTACTAAGCTTATTAATAAAGAACTGAGTAAATATTTGGCAATAAAAAAGAATATTGTTTCATGTAAAATGTATTAGGGTTTCAAATTTAAAGACAAAATTTTCTGTCTTAGAAAATGAAAAGTAAATAGAATTAGAGCATTTTCAGAGAGCAAAGCAAGGATCAGAGTTTAACAGCACAGTTGCCTACTACTGTATCTCTGAAGCTTTTTGAAGTATTACAGTGACGGAATTTATGCTCTCTGATCACGCAACATGTACAATCTAATGATTGCTATATTTAATACAAATAAGGGGGAAATCTTCATCTTATTTTATTAAGAAACAGACAATCAAATATTAAGGTAAAGCTGCAAAATTCAGATAACAAATCAAGAGTTCTTGACTTGAGAATGTGACCTCATGGGACCACAGCAGGACATCAATGTGCAGACCACAGCAATAAAACAGTATGACATAGCAGATAAGACATTACTGAAAAGAAACCCAATACCCTTCATATCATCCTATGCTTTATCTGGGAAAACAAAAATCTCAGACTATCTTTCCACAACGGATTCTAGATACTCTTCACGGATATCTAGACCTCCATCAATAAATGCAATTGTGGGGTCTGTGTGTGTGTGTGTGTGTGTGTGTGTAACCCAAAGAAGAAGTAGAAAACTATTCATATTTGATGTACCTATGTTCCTGAAAATGGACTTAACAAAACCACTGTTGCAATATAAGAAGACAAAGCATGTATTACATTCTGATCTTCATGAAGTTGTCTAATCAAGAGACAGAAATTATGAATAATAACTGACTAACTTTCTTCATTCATGCAGAGAGGAAGACCTTTAAAGAGCTGAGGTCATAAGAAACACATTTAGACTAAAAACAGTCTGCTGGAAACTTCCTTTAAAAACCTTCATTTCACTCCATCTGGGCCTCATACAACTGCAGAGAAAGGCACTGTTACCAAAGACTTCTTCATGACCTATGTCAGATCTAATCTCAGGGAAATCAACATCCTGCCAGGTTGATCAGCGTAATAGCCCTAAGTAATCAGAGCAATTTAAATAAAACACACCTGTGGACAGAGAGGGATAGAAAAAAAAAGGCCTTTTCCTTTACTAACACAATTAAAATCTGGTAAACCCAAAGATACTAATAAACAATAGACAACACAAAGTGTCTGACTTGCTTTTTATGAAAAGTTTTAATTGCTTAAAAATAAATCAGCACCCAAAAATCTAAGACAAGTTCATTTTTAATATCTTATTAAAAGGAATATGTGTATTCTGCACTGGAATTATTTAGGAGTACAAGCTTACAAAGGTACTGGAATTGTTTGCTAAAGACCCAAGTAAAAGCCAGCAGCAAAATAGATCATTCTCAACTGATTTCTGTAAGAAATGACAAGATGTCTTAAAATGTGCCACAGTTTAAAGTAATCTTTTGCAGTCCCCAAAACACAAATGTCACTGGATTTACACTATGTCAATCTAAGGTGCCTTTAGTAACTACCTACTTACATTCAAGCACAGCATAAGGGCTAAACAGAATTATTTCCACCTAAACATGTAAAGTTATAAACAGTGAGGGGCTGAGAAAGAAAATGAAGATGTTAAAACACACTTCCGGAAAATTTTGGTCCTGTTCGAATGTGAAAAATGTCACTATTCCATGAGTGCTGGGGGGGTGGGGGGAATGAGGCCAACTTGTTCTTCATAAATGGAAAGGCTTGCTTGGAAAAAAATTGGAATGGCTATAACCGTTTAAAGCAGTAATGAAATAGAGCATTTTACCTACTACAGAGAAAAGAAAAACTTTTGCTCAGCCTGTTCTGAAGTGACTCCGTTGTGCATTGACTACAGAGGGGAGAAAATGAATAGGAGCTCTGTTGCCCTGGGGCAGCTTAGTATTACTGAGGGGCTCGGGGAGGAAAGCTCGTCCAACAGATGGTCCCACAACATGCAAGTCAGTCTTACAAAGACTCTTAGGTATAGTCATGGCTGAAAACACTCAAGACTATATACCATTCAGAAATACGAATTTTTTGTTGTTGTTTTTATGCTCATTAGTAATTCAGTTTTGAAAAAAACACAACTATTTGCTTTTGACTTTTTTCTGGAGCTCTGCTGGGAAAACTCAATGCTGATCTTTTAGTCATAACTCCTCTCACTCCTTGGGATTTCTCACAGTAAATATTTACTTAACGGCTTGAGCACAGATATGCAATAAATTACCCACAATTAGAAAACCAAAAGATGGTTCAAAACCTTATGCATAAGATGCTGTAAATACTATGTGAAATATGGTAACATGACAGGGAAAAGGCATCTATAAATAAAGGGGTCCCTGCCATTAACACTTACAGACAAATCTATCCCCCAAAAGTCAAACTACGCTTCAAATACTCTTAACTTTTTTTGAAAGACACCTGATGACAAGCCATGGTGTGACAACATATGAATTGGAATCACTTGAAAAATAACAGCTCAAAAAGCTCCACCTTGCAGAATAAACCTCACAGGTAACACACACACACACACACACACACACACACACACACACCCCTCTTTGTTAATAACACGCCTTTACAAATAGAGTTAAAAATGCTTAAGAGGTAAGGGGGGGAGGGAATCTCCCTTTTAAAGGGTGTTCTTTCACAAAGTACAAAGATACCAAAGTAACCCGCACACATAACAAAATAAGGTGGAAACCATCACGCCTACCGTCAAACTTCTTGTGCCTGGACACAAACGTGTTCCGCACAAAATGACTTGTCTCTTCCACAAGGTTCTCAAACTCGAGTTTGCTCTGTTGGCTTAACTTGTCTTCCATCTCCGTGGTACAGCACGTATACTCCTGAGGACAGATTCTCAAGTGTTCCCCTGCAATGAGAAATGAATGAAATGTTAGTGTGGAATGAGAGGGAATGAACTCAAACACCCACCACCCTGATGGTGGCAAAAGACGGGGCAGCAATCCCTTTTGTTAAACACGGGGTCAATATTATGGCCACTGACAACACCATGAAATGCTAAAGACATCTGGTAAATGTCTGACTATTCACTTATCTAACATCACCCTAGAATCCTTACAAAGGGGTTTGCTTCCATCTACCCCCTCAAGTCATCCTTATAATCTGGCACTCAAACAACACGCTTCACATTCCAAACATACGGCTGGTTTAAATGGAATCTGATATTTAGTCGTTGTTCCCTGACAAGCAACTGAAGGTGTATATCAAAGACCTCAAAATACCATGACCTTTCCCCTGCTTTTATTAGAACTGTGCCAAGTTACACCAATTGACAAGAGATGTAACACAGTTTTAAGTCTGCCTGTCTTTGAAAAATCTCAAGGAAGGCAAAAGGCATTTAGTGCCATCTCTACAGTCTGTCAGACAGCCAGGGCAAAAAAAGGATGTAAATTTCCTATGTTCTCTTTCTGCCTGTCTGTCTGCTGAAAGACATTCGAGTTTCATCTGGAGAAAAGTCAGCGTGTTTTTAATGGCAGGTCTTGGGTGCCACATAGACTCTCAGGTGACATTTCTTGTTAGAAAGAAAATGTTCTTCTGAATGAAGGCAGGCACTGGTGGGTTTAATTAATGTGTATGTTAGACAGAAATGTAAAGTAAAAGGTAATAAAGTCTCCTGTTTAATTCAACAGATTTATTCCTTGATATACTGGGCCACTTCATCCAACAAGATTGCTTTTCAGCCCTATTTGCAAGTAGAAGTCAGCCCTTTACTTCATGAAATTAAAATGGTCTGTTATTGCATAAAATGTGAACGCACAATGGATGCAGCTCAGTAACCTTCAGAAATGTTACTCAGAGCACATGAGAAGGAGAAGAAAAACCCAGCCACCCAAGAGCTTGATAAGGAAAACCAACAAACTGCCCTGGAGACAAAAGCCCCTAGGAAAATCGAATGGACAAAGGGTGTGATGTGGTAGGTAAAATTCATTTCCAAAGTATTCATCTACAATATTTCAGAAAAAAAATGTCCGATGGCTTTAGATGATGAAGTGTCTTATGAGTCCCATACAATGTGATGCCTTCGCTGCTGCTTAACTCCAGAATATAAACAAACAAACCAACAAAAAATCCCACCAGGATTATAAATGTGTATTCAAATTGTTTCTGATCATCGTGTGGATACTTTGTTTATATACACATAGTATTTATACTATTAATAATTTAAATATATATATATAAAATATAAATATATATGTGTGTGTGTGTGTGTGTATAATTTCTCAAACTGGATGAGGGATGCAAGGTGCTTTTTTGTTATATTACTAACTTCACTTTTTTTTCTGTAGATTTTGGATATTTTATAACAAAACCTTGGAAGTGCATCACTAACACCTAGTACCTACAGTAGTTATTCTGGAGAGGACTGCAGATCGGGGTAGAGAGGGGAAGATATTTACAAGTTAGAAACAGACATACGCAGCCCTTGACTTTGAGAAGTTGGTCTGGCATTCAAACTCAGGTCACACAGCTCTGTACTCCCAGATGTAAATAACTGCATACAGTGACAACCTCAGACAGATCTACACTGAGACCAAGATAAAATGAGACAGAGGAAGGCCATGCCAGAACTTTGCCTGGGAGAGTCGCACAGGTTACTCTGCAATCCACAAACCACCAAACACCTCTCAACTCGTTCTATACCAATGCATCTTCCGATTATATTTCTTCCATATGGGTAAGGTTTCTTGAGGTTGCCAACCATACCAATGACAGATTTACTTTCTCTGGCCTCTCCTTCAGATAATCCAACTGGAGCCCAAGTCCTCTAACAACTTCCCTATCATATCCTCCTCCTGAGAATATCCACAGTTCTCCATGGCGGGTCTCAACTGTGACAATTCACAACAGAGCTATCTGTTCAAATGCAGGCATGTTATTAGTTGGTTTTGATAACATTGGTGAGTTCAATATAAGGAGAGATAAAAGTACATGAATTTTGAAAATATTATCGAAATAATTCTGAATTCCACATTCCTTTCAGAAGTACGGTTTCATAGTTTAAAACACCAAGAAAGCATTTGTACAGTTTTGCTATTAGCACATGGTCAACAGATGATTAACCGTCTCCTGGTAAGAAGCCGTGTTGCAACCTCAAAGGCACGTGTTTAGAATCTACCAGCTGCTTTGTGGGAGAAGGATGAGCAAACTCCTCCCACGTGATTTCCTGCCTCTGAAAATTTGTGGGAGAGTCAGCTATAGGTTGGCTCCAATTAAAGAGATTTTCTTTTACTTTTCAAAGAGAAGAGGGAATGGGGGGGGGTGAGGAGAAAAGTGCAACAATGAATGAATGGACCCCCCCCAAAAAAAAAAAAACCAAAGAAGAAAAACAGAAGCAAAATCTCCATTTTTACTGAGTTGGGTCATCATTCACAATTCTCAGTAAAAAGTAAGAAAATTACAAGGAACATTCTGATCATGATCTTGATTTATTGTTGTGCTCAAAAACACTAAAGGTGACTAAAACAAACAAAAAAAAACAACACAAAAAACCTACCCCATCCAATGAAATGACATTTTATGTGCAAGACAGATGACATAAAATCAGTGTGCAAGGTGACAATATGTATTAAAGGAAATACTATAATTAATCAATAGAGTCTGAGTGATGGTTTTTAAAAAAATACACCTAGTAAATGATTTTAACAGGTTTTTAGTGACAGTTTATTCTTTCATTAACTTTCTTAGAAGTTTGTCTTTGTTTTTTGTTTTGTTTTGTTTTTTTAAAAAACCCCTTACCTCTTCTTTCTTTGCCTGGACACTGGAAAAATATTTCTTGGGTCAATACTCAGTAAAAGGCCAAAAAGCTTTGAATGATCTTGAATAATCACTTTGAATTAGGCAACAAACCTGGCTCGCTCTGGACCAGGTGCCCTCACCTGCCTGCAGCGAGTCTCAATGTCATGGAGTCCCATAACTTCCCTGTCCTTTCACACTCTCTCCTCACCCTGCCCCACAGCTCCAGCTGCATTTCTCTAACATCATCTAAGCCAAAGGGCTTTTTAGTAAATAGTACGATCTTTTTAAAAAGATTCTTTCCAAAGTGCTGAAGAGCAATGCTATCTCTCTGGAGACTAAGGTGCGTCTGATACAGGCCATGGTCTTCACAATCACTTGTTATGCATCAGAGAGTTGGACAATGACCAAGGAGGACAGAAGGAGAATTGATGCCTTTGAGCTGTGGTGCTGGAGAAGAGTACTGAGAATACCATGGACTGCTAGGAAAACAAACAGATTTGTCCTGGAAAGGGTTAAACCGGGTGGCTCCTTGGAGGCAAGGATTCTGAGGCTCCGTCTAATTTACTTTGGACATGTTGTGAGGAGAGACCGGTCCTTAGAGAGGGACATCTGCTTGGGAGGGTGGAGGGACGGCGCAGGAAAGGAAGGCCCTCTATGAGGTGGATTGATTCAGTGACTGGGATAATTGGGATGGGAGTGTCAGAGACAGTGTGATTGGCACAGGACAGAGCGGAGTTTAGGGCTGTTGTACATAGGGTCGCTATGAGTCGCAGGCAACTCGATGGCACATAACAACAACAACAACAACAATAGTGAATTAGCTTTCTTAGAACACTTTATGTTCTATTAAAAAAATCTGCATCGAATTAGTAAGATAATGTTTAGCAGTTACCTCTACACACACACGTACACATTTGACAGCAGAAATAATATTTAAGAATTCAACAACAAAAATTTTTTCTTGAAATATGCATATTTCATTAGTGCGCTTACCATACAGTCAGGGTATGAGGGGAGAAATACTTGTTTACAACAGGTCAAAGAAAGGAATATTCCAGAGTTGTTAAGACTAAATACACACTCAAGGTGACTATAGATTTGTTGTTGTTAAGTGCTGGTGAGTCACAGGCTTAAGCAACCCTAAGAACTGAAGTCTTGGACACCTGTAGAACTTTCATCGTTTCTCCAGGTTCATAGGGTTTCCAGAGGCAAGCTGTTATGGAAGTGGATGCCACTCCTGCTTCCAAGCTTGTTTTAATCGGGGAACTCCACCAAACACTGTACACCATGGGTAACCATTCTTGCCTTTGACACATCAGTGTCATAGTCTTCAGTTTCACAGTGACCACGAGTCATCTCTGTACATTAAGTGGACTAGGGCTATACAACCCAGAAGAATGTTTGACCAAAAACAATTAAAAACAGGCCTGAGGGCCGCGGATGAAAATCACCCACCTATAGATAGAGTTTTTAAGTTTTAGCATTTTTTATTATAGAAGCCAATTGTTGCTGTGTACCATAGAATCAGATCCAATCCATAGCTGACCCTCCAGCAAGTTTTCAGACAGTCAATCGCACAGGAGTAGATTGTCCATGGTTCTCATGAACTAGGCCAACAATGGTCCCTACTTAAGCCTACTAGAGAAATTTTTAAATACAAAAGCCTACTTTAGGAGTAATGACGTCTATTTTAAGACTGAGGTGTACCTGATTCAGACCAGGCTCTTTTCAGTCACTTGTTATGTATGTGCAGGCTGGACAATGAGTAAGGATGACAGAAGAATCATCAACGCCTTTGAGTCGTGGCATTGGAGAGGTGTACTGAATACCATATGAACTACAAAGAAATGAACATATATGTCTTGGAGAACGTTCAGCCAGAGTGCCAAACAGAAACAAGTATGTCAAAGGTTTTTGTCTAACATACCTTGGGCATGTCACCAAAAGGGGCTATTCCTTGGAAAAGAGCACCATGCTTGGAAGGTGGAAAGTCAGTGAAAAAGAGGAAGACCCTCAATGATATGAATCAACACACTGACAACTGCAATGGTCTAAAGCTTGTCAGATATGATGAGGTTAATCCAAGATAGGGCAGGGTTCAGAGTTACATCC